GGAATCATCCACCTTGTACCTAACCCCTAGAGTACCCATTTGATGAAAAATTATGAGTAGTAAAATGAAATCAAAAGGAATGACTACAACTGTGAAGTATGTCTTCATTGGTTATTTATAAAGTGTAAAGGGCTACAAGTTGTGAAATATGTAATTTGGAGGATAAATATTAATCATAAGTAGGTGTGTTATTTTCTGTGAAACCCGTAAGAGGTGGGAGAGTAAATACCTAGAGGAGAAAGAATTGAAAACTATGGTGCAAAAGACTTTGTTTCAGTTGGAGCTTTCTATTAGAAAGAGCATATTGGCACTTGATTATCATTTTACTCGTGATATGGTAAGGAGGGAAATTTTATCATCTCACATATATGATTATGATGACCTTAATTTTTGAGTTTTGAATGTGATTGAAGGATTGTAAGACTCAAAATTAAAGACCTTCAGTGAACCATTCATGAGCAAAGAGTGTAAAAGATGGTTGAAGATCATGAATAATGAGATTCATTCACTATTTAAGAATAATATGTGTAGGCTTGTAAAACTACCTAAGAAACAAATTATGGTTGGATGCAAGTGGAAAGAAATGCATAGATCATAGTTCAAGCATTGCTTGAACTTGATCAAGTTTGTTAAATAATGATTCAAGCTTTAAAGAGAGAAGTAATGTGGTTGATAGATAAATTGGCATCACCATCAATTTTGAGTCAAGATGGAGAATTAAGGAACTATGCCTCAAGATCTCAACTAATGAAGAGATGAAAGAAAACATCTTTTGAACTTCCTGATATTTTTGGCAAGCGAGCGGAAGCCCGACAGTAGTTTGACAGGTGGACAAGATTCGGCGAAAGAGTTTCGATCGGCGAAGGAGGTTTGACGCTCAGTGTTATGGTTAAGGGTCTCGGGTCAATTCATATCGCAAATTAAATCACTGTATGATCATTTTTTGAGCTTAGATATGAAGAGAAATCATGATACAGAACTCAGTGGAATAATAAAATTTTCCTTTAGTTGATCCTTATGAATTATGCATGATTAGTGATAGAATGATTACCTTTTGTGGAGATTAGCACCCTTGATGCAAAATCATAGGAATGATCACGAGCGTTGAATGAAGAACATCACCTCTATTCAGTCCACACAAATAGAGTGTCTTCAATCTCAGTATTAGCTGCTACAAATAAAGACTTTTAGAGAGAGATTTCAAAACCAAATTTTCATCAAGTGAAAAATCTTTAACACAAGGGTTATATTTATAGAACCACACTTGTGGGGTACAAGTTGGAAAATCTCACTTAAGTGCATCGTACCTTACATTATATTATATTTCACATAAGTGCACGCTACCTTATGGTATTATATATTTTACTTAAGTGCATCATACCTTACATTGTTCTACAACTCACTTAAGTGTATTGTATTTTACGGTGTTCTATAATTATCTTAAGTACATCATACCTTACGGTGTTCCTTATTCATTCTATCTTTCATCAATTTGTTCTTATTTGCGTGTCACTGTAGGTTCTCGTGACATTGACAATTATATTAAATCATATGTTTAACATAATAAATAGTGAGCGTTATCTAGTAACACATCACTACTACCCAAGTCACAAAAGTGTCATGTGATCTGACAAAATATTTATATGATAATGCTTGTGTCTACAATTACCATTTTCCCCTCATGTTTATATTGAACATAAGGCATAGACCATGTCACCCTTGTCCAGTTTAATATTGGACCCTTAGACATTTATCCTTTTATGCGAGATATGCAAATTTCATTTAGGTTACTCATGTTCCTCCGCATGATTTATGGGGTATACATCAACTGTCTTTATGGTCATCCAATTGCGAACAATATTTGATCAGCAATAAAGTACTTGACCCCACATCTAGGGTCCATAGTGGTTTCAGATCAAAGGGTGGTATACGCCACTATCACCACGAGAATAACTTATGACCGTATATAATATTCTATGTAGTATTCTCATAGCGGGTCAATCTAGTATAAATATTACTCCTAGTATTCATACATATGTGAATACTTGATTACTTTTTATGTATGAACCATGAGATGTGATCATCAGTCTATCCACATAATAATCTCAATACTTTAATATCTCACTTCATAATAAAGCTCTACTACAGGTACTTTAAGAATAGTGTCATTATGTTTAATGAGGTCTCATGATTAAGTCGCACTTAATGATTTGATTTCTTTCTAATTTTCAAGTAAAGCATGTTCACCCTAATGCTTTGATTTTGGGGTTTCTAATCACATTACTAACAAAGCCCAAATATTCTAGGAATTCTAGGATACACACTTCTGATAAAATCAATCATCTATCATAATAACGGGTGATATTTCTTTAAATTTAATCATTTTTGTTGTTTGTGATCTCACTAATAATCTCATTTTTGTTGGTCAATTAGTTGAAAATAATTGTCAAATACAATTCTCAAAGTCAAGTTTTCTTATGCAAAATCTACACTCAATGACTATAATCGTTGAAGGGTCTAAAGTTAAATGTCTATTTTCACTCAATTTATATTTATCTTCGTTCTTAAGTCTTCCTTTACCTTCTATTTTATACAATTATATAACTATTAATTATCAAGTGTGACATAAGTGTCTTGTACATCTAAACTTCAATGTATTTTATAACATATTAAAATCTAATTTTCTTGAAAATAAACATACTCCGTCTCTTTTATGAATTTTGAATGGATTTTTATTAATTAAAAGAAATCTCTATCATTTCATTCAAACATTTACCATCACAAGTCACATATACTTTTAAAAAAAATTCAAACACCTAACTTATCTTTCATCTTGCCGACATTCATGAAAGAAGCATAGAGGATTAGAATAAATTCCAGCTAGAATGCAAAGAAAAAACAAGCATCTCGACCAAAAGAAATATCAAATACATTGATAGATAGATATCACAAAAAGGATAAAGAATTGATGCTTAACATCTTAAAAAATAAAATTTTATAAAAAGTTTCGAATATCTATGCACATTCTTTAGCTAGGGGGGACCTTTCCTTTCTCTACTCTTTTGCTCAATACGTAGCAAAAACGCAATAATTCTATAACTAGTCATGTTTTCACTGCTCCACTCAAATCTCTCCATCGATGTTAACCTCTTTTATTCTCAATATCAAAGATTCCTCCTAACCATAATATCTATTTTCTTAAAAACAATATGCCTGGGTAAGTCGTATTTCTTCCAAGAATATAGGAAAATGGATTATCTACTTTCAAAATATTATTTTCTCAAGCTTGTGTTATAAAAAATATATTGATTAATTAATAATTAATAATCAGATATATTAACTCTTCAATAAATCTAAAAAATCCTTCTATTCTTAAAAGCAAGCGTTTCCGACCATTATTCAATAAAAGATAAAATCTACTCTATTTCTTATAAAAAAAAATATTTTTTAAATTCATTAATAATAAATATATTTGATCTATATAAAATGGATTAGTTATTTCAATGAGTCTAAAAAATCAATTTTTATATAATAAAAAATATATAATAAACTTTTTTCTTATAATAAAAATAAAAGAGTGAGTATACATTATCCGTATTTAGCCAATAAAGATAAAGATTAATAGTAATCTATCAAAACTGTTCCTCCCAGTCACATATTGTCATATATTATAAATAAATTTCATTTAAATTATATATATATATATTAAATACATTAATTATTTAATAAATTAAAAAAAAAATAATGACACATAGTATTTTTTATCAAACCCTTTTAACTTGCCAGCCGCAATAAATGCATGGTATATGGCCTAAATCATCTTTGAAAGTGTACAAGACAGATAATCATATGCTAAACAAGACAGATAATCATATGCTAAAAAAATCTCATAAATTATTCCCACTATTTTAAAATGATTGTCGTTTAAAATTTTCACACATAAATTAAGAAATATAATGATATTATGAGACATCACATTTTTACAAAATTAATCCTATTAATATATTAAAAGTAGTGTAGAGAATAAAAAATAAATAGCACAATTGAAAAAATAATAATCATTACTACATTAAAAAGTAAAAACGACAATCATTTTGAAACAAAATTTATTTACTAAAACAACGATCATTTTGAAACATTTAAACTATGACAAAGTAGAATCTCAATTTGTTTTACCACAACTAAATTGGTTTTACTATAACTAGTTTGAGACTAACATACACAAAACCTTCATATACTTCATGGATTTTGTATATGCTTCAAAAACTCGTGATTAACCTATTCAGAACCTTCTAAAATTTAAAACGGTTTTGTACATGCTTCGAAAACTTAAAGTAGTTCTGTGTATATGGTATAGTGCCTATATGTAATCCAAATCAATCCCTTGGGAGATGCTTGTTTGAGTTTATCTATTGCAAAAACAGTTGTAAAATTATTTGGAAGATCATATGAAACAACTTATGACAACAAGTCCATAGGTTGTTTTCGACTCGCTTCAGATAACTCTCCAATATAGCAAAAACAGTTTATAACTTACATGAAAACAGTTTGACTTTATTTTATATTAGTTCTAAAAATGTCTCACACATGCGAACTTGTATGATAAACAATTATACTACGAACATTTAACCCGACTCTACCACGATTCACAAAACATTCAAACCGGTGAAAACCCCGACTCTACCATGATTCACAAAACATTCAAACCGGTGAAAAGCCTGATTAGTCCTGGCTCCAAATAGCCAATGTAACCGAAACTAAATAACTTGAATGTAGACATGGCGGTAAAATAGTTCAAGACCAAGACTGGTGTACCTAGAAAGTTTGGCTAGAGCAGAAAATCTAAACGCTCCGGCAACAAAAAAGTAACAACAGTTGTAACAGAAAAAGATGGAAATACAGAAACAAACGGCAATTTCACTGCCCCTTCCATGCAAAAGTCTCAACTAGAAAGTTGACTAAATAACCTCACAAGTCTAGGTAGGACAATGTCCGATCGGTTACCGCGATACTGGACGAGTGACCCTTGGCCTCACTGGAGTCTTGGAAGGACTTACCCTGCGGAATCAGAAGGAAAACCAAATAAGATCAAACTTATTTGTATTGAAGCTAATATAACAAAAACTATCCTTCAATGACAACGGTATCGAACCTTATAGGCTGGGTTCCCAAGGGCATGCCGCTACAGTTTAGTGCAAGGATGGCACTATCTGCCTACTCAAGAAAAAAAGAAACGGATGGTCAATATATCAGTCCTCAATTAACAACTATGCGTCGAGACAGAGAACGCGGAAAGTAAAAACTTACTATCGCAAATTCCACAAAAGCAATTCGAGTTGAATGCACCTGGTCCCCCAAAAGCCTCAAGCGAGTGACCTATGAAATAGAAAGGCAGTGTCAACCAACATTTAACTTTTGAGATAAATAAGTTTAAGCGAATAGCGTGGAATGATTATTATGGTCTGACCTCGCCACAGGATGACTCAAAAAAGTTCTTCACTTCAGATTGAGAAATCTGCATTCAGATAATCGATAGAAATTTAACAATTCATCGAGAAGTTCGACTTCAATAACTCATAGATGCATTATTACTAAAAAATTTACCGAAAATATCCATTACAGTAATTTTCCGAAACAAAATGAATAAATGCTATACCTTTTTGTCGATATTTGTACAATAGACAGTCCTGGTACACATTTCCCGCTCATCATCCGACTGAGCATTATAAAAAATGGTAAGTACGGTCTAGATTAAGAGAATCAATATGCCAAAGGGTTAAACTATTTTCCATCGAAAATACGGCTAAGTACAGAAAGGATCAGAAAGTGTTCATACCCTAGGGAGGAATGTAGGATTCACAGGAAGGATAGCAGTTTTCGAAGGAAGGACCCTCACTGGATAGAATCCAAGCACAGTACCACCAAGGGTTAAAGCTGCCCTAGCACCATCTGTTCACATAAATTCCATCATAAAAATCATGAAATCGGTTGAAAAATGGTTGTGTGCGTGTGTGTGTGTGTCCACATATCGTTTGAAAATGTTTAAGACAGGGAGTTAGATTTGAAGGACAAAAACTTACGCTCATCAGCAAACTCGACAAAAGCAAATCGAAGAACTGAATGCGGATCACCACAAATTCGGCAATCAATGACCTATAAATCAAATGATGTAATAAAATGTTAATAATTTAAATACGGTGATTTTCTAATGGGAGATTTATCTTTCAAGTTTAAAAATTTAGATACTATGCAAGAGAAGAGATGTCATCATTAATAAAAGATAACAAAATTCGCAGTCTCTACAGACACACAATCACCATCAATCATCAGGCAAAATAAGTATTGTTAAAATCGTGTCTTAACTCGTAGGATCGCACAATCCTACAGGTATACCTCCCCATCCAGCGTCGAATTAGTTACCGAATCATCGCTGAATGGCATAGCCATAAGTTTGTCGTTCCTGCTTGTGGAAACATGAGGGTTGATCCGTTTCGATCTTGAAAAGAGGGTCAGATTACACAACACGGTTCATAAAACACTGCATTTAAGGGTTTGGAATAACATATCTAGGTCAGATTTTCGATAGGTCTCTACAGAAAACACAATGCAGCCATAAAACGACATTGTATTTCACAAATAATTTTGATTTTTTATATAATTACTTTAACAACAAAATAATTTCAAAAGACGGCTTAGATGCATTTGAAAAAGCATAAACTCCATTTCGGTGACACGTACACATTCCATCTATATGAGGTTCCGAATAATAAACTAATGGGTTTAATTGAGAAAATTGAAGAAATTACGGCATAACCTCATAACGAACTCAGATTAACTTAATCAAGAATAAATATATATATATTTAATCGAAAGAAAGGAATGTTCCACATAGCTAAATGAAGAAAGCATCAGTGTTAATCATAGAAAAAGCGGCAAAATCCCACATAACAAATAGTCATAATAGGCACACATCATTAATGCTCGACATATCGCACAATTGGAAAGGGGAAATTTCAACAACATAGCTATACGACAATATTAATACCATAGTTGAAAATTATTACGCAATGTAACAGTTTTTACCTATTGTAATCAGATTAAAATTAAAACATAATAATAACGAACCAAGTTATCAACGAAGATATGTAACTACCTGTCCACAATTGGTGAATAAGGCTGCAAGCCGCTCCTCAGTAACCTAGACCAAGAGAAGACGGAGTTCAAATAATTCGGTTTTCGATTCTCAAAATCAAATACTAAACACATAATAACAACATAAGCTTTTATTCATGCTACTATAACTTCACTTACATGCTGATCAATGTCAGAAACATAAACTGTTCTTCTAACGCTGTCTTCTCTCTGAGCCTTCAGAGATCTGCCATTCAACCTTCTCCTCCCTTGAGTAAAGTTGTTTCTTCTCTGCAAGATTACAATTAAAATTTTCAGTAAACACAGAGAACGACAATATCAGGATTAACTGCTAACTCAATGTTATCGAGTATCGACATAATCACTTCAACAGATACACCAGTTTTCACATAATAGAGTCATAACCCATCATAGCACGATATGCGTCATATAATCAATTTCGGCTCAATCATGAATAAGTGAAAAGATTACAAGATATTGTATAGTAACGTAAAAAGCCGTAGTTAGCTGCATAACATTACGTAAACATACAAGGGAAAAAACATGTTTGCCAGTAACTGTGGTTTATAAACGCAAATGCAGGTACATTGTGATTACTGAAATTGTCGAGGCCACAAATGCTATCACGGTGTAGTAACCACAAATGAAGTAAACATAAACTACAAACAAATAACACAGAAAAACTATAAACATTAATAATGCATATAAGCAAGGTTTTAAAAAACCCTGCGAAAAAACGGTATCAGATGGTGCCGATACCGTTATTCACCATTTTTAAGATAAAGAACAGATTATGGTTAATTCACACCACGACGACCGCAATCAGTGTCACAGCACCTGTACCGACCGAAATCTTACACAACCTTAAAGCTTTGCATATAAGTATATCAAATACCATATACATAATTTAGATCTAAAACTGACACTACACTGCATATAAACATTATCAGCAGATGGATTTTTCCAGCAGTAAAACAGTTTTCACAATCTGATTTAACAATTCTAGATACATGATTTCTCTCCTACTTCCTTTCACCGAATCGATTAAAAATTCAATCTTTTTTCACCACAAAAACAAAAATCAAAGCTGCACCAAAATCTTCAATCAAGCTATAGTTTTCACAATATAAATGTCAAGAGTTCCAATATTCCAAGCAGCACAACAACCACAAAAAATCAGCACAACCCATCACTAAAATCAGCACAATATACACATGAAACAATTGAGGAAAACCCATCACTAAAATCAGCAAAACCCATCATAAAAATCAGCACAATATAAACATGAAACAATTGAGCAAAACCCATCATAAAAATCAGCACAACCCATCACAAAAATCAGCACAATACAAATATAAAACAATTGAGCAAAACCCATCATAAAAATCAGCACACTATAAACATGAAACAATTGTGCAAAACCCATCACAAAAATCAGCACAAAAAACCAAAACTACAAAACCAACATATCAAAAATGAGAGATCAAACAAAAACCAAGCATACCCTTCGATTGTTTTGATGATCATCATTAGGTGCCACCTTATTGTTGGCCAGAAAACTGTTGGGTCTGAAGATATTAAACCCCTGACCTCGCTGATCATTGCCAGCACCATAAGATGAAGGAAAAAACTCCTTAGCCAAAGGATTCAGCTTTGTGAACATGTCAACCAGCTTCTGAACACTGAATTCAGATTCACCCTTTGGCTTTGAGTCTATTTTGTTGGCATCAGTTGAAATGTCAGCAGCAACAACCGCAGCAGCCATGGTGAAACTCACACAAAAACCCTCGACAAGTTTAGCAAAAAAAATGATTTTTTGTGAGCAAAAAAATGAGAAGAATCGCTTTTTTATAGAAGCCGGAAAATTATTTTAAAAAATTAATTAAAAATGTAGAATTTACATAAGGAGAAATGTGATCAAGCGTTTTTATGAGTGCCCCAGTTTGTGAAAAAACCGGATATGAACAAAATCGGAGTTAATTATATTATATTACGAAAATTGGTTTAGAAGATATACATTGAACCAGAAATGGAAACAAAAGGGATTAGGGTTTTTAGATGGATCATCAAGAACAAAGGGAGAGAGAGAGAGAGTGAGAGTGAGAGTGAGAATGAGAGAGAGAAAGAGAAGAGTTTGGTGTTTGGAATAACAAAGGCTTTGGCTTTAGCTTACACTCTCTTGGCCTTTCTATGTGATGTGTGGTTTTTTTTTTCTTTTTTCTTTTTTGTTTGTTTTTCTTCTTTTTCTTAATGATTGTTTCATTTAACTTTTAACCTAAGTAAATTTTGAAGTACAAAGATAAAAAATTAATTGCGAGAAAATTATAATTTTGATTCAATGTGAGTTAAATGAAAATATTTAACATTGTTAAAGGATCAATATTTGATATGTATTCGACATAGTTATATGTTTAGTACGCCCCGATATGTACTAGAGAAATATCAAGTTATTAAATTTTACCTTTGTCAATGGAAAAAATAAAATAAAAAATTATCATGAGTTAGGGTTTTCCACCCAAAACATTGTCCACGTCTCCACATAATTTTTATTGAAAGTTATGTTGTTCCTTGATGAAGGGAATAGGAAAAAGAGACTAACACAATTAGTGTTAACTATTAATCAATGAGTATTAAATAATTATATGGAGCCTAATTTTTTGGAATATAACTAATGATGTTCTTTATGCTATATTCTAATTGGTGCGAAAAAGTGTTATTACTTGTTTTTGATCATTTTAAGTAATGTGAATATTTCTTTATTACCTTAGTCATGTTTATATACATTTTGAAATTTTTTTTTTTAGTTTCATAGTTGTATTGTATCTTGAATTGTAAAATTTTCTCATATTTATATTGTATCAATTATTTGGGGCCCATGGTCACATTATAATATTGATCACATTTCACATATAATGAATTTCACATTTTTATTTATACATAAAATTCACATAATGCACATTTACAATAGACATATGCATGAAAACTTGACACTTTCATTTCTCTTTGGTGTCATCTAACTCCGAACACATGTCAATAAATATAATATTTTGCTAACTCGAAAGACAGATATGTGCAACTCATTATAAACTCGTTCCACTTGACTAGAAATCCATATAAGTGACAAGTTAGAGTAACCAAAGATTGTATGGTAGCTTACGATATTAGGAAATCATCCACCAATCCACTTAGGATTCCCCCTTTATATTACTCTTGTGACCTAACAAGTAGATCTTTTCTATCAGGTTCAAACAAAGTGTTCCAAACTATAAGATATTGGATCAAACTCTATTAGGTCAAAGGATAGCTTTGTGGTTCGACAGAGATTAGCATACATTCGGAGGTCGCTCACGTGCTGGTGTCGAAGTAGTATGTTGTAGTCGAAGTATGGTCAAACGTACACTTGTCGAAAATGTTAGGTTTGTTAGCATGGTTAATTGAACTTGTTTATTATGTCCACTTATTTAAGTTAGATTGTAATGGGTATTTGTGAAAATGCCCATTAGCTTAGTATGTTATGTTTATTATAAATAACATATTAGTCTTTCATTATTGTATACTATAAATTCTAATTTATGGTGAGAGAGGTTGTTTGTTATTCAGTAACACTTGTAATCTTGTTTCAAAGAGAAAGTAAAGAATAGCAGTTGTTGAATGCGGTAAAGAGGCAAGCAAAAAGTAACTTATTAATTTACCAAGTGATATATGTTATATTGTATCGTGTCCATAGAGATTGGTGTATTGAAATATTGTTCGACAAATCTCTTGTTAATGAGTTTAGGGTTAAATGAGTTGAAAGTAAATGTATCAACCGAAAATAAAGTATAAAAAGGAAAAGGGAATAACTTATCAAGCATGTGTATATACCTACTTCTCACAGACTTAAACCTATCGACATGTTATACTAAACCTATAATGTTCATCACATGTCAAACACAACACCCATTGTATCACCTCAGCAGCGATCTCTCAACCAACCTTAACAACACATAAATCAACAGTGCTCGCTTGCATCGACGGTCTCTCAGAGTGACACAAATAACACAGAGGCATTAATCACAGACACCCTAAGTGGATAACAGCGCTAAATCTATCTCTAGGATTCAGACACTATTAGATAATCATCCTAGATAAGAATTCAAGCAGTATATGTCTTATAGCAACACAAATCCCTAGCACAGAGCAAAAATTAAGGATAACAATCGACAAAGATTTGTAAAACAAGTTTTATAGAACGCTAATGGCAACAAATATACATGAGTTTAAAGAAAATACATATACAAACCCAGTCAATAGAGAATACACAAAGAAAACTAGAAATGAACCGCAAACCTACCGATTTTTAGCGTTGATCGAAGAGTAATCCACCCCGGATCATCCGTATGCAAGCTCCATAGTTGTTATCTAAGTTAATCCTAACGAAATTGGAGGTTGATGGAGTTGGGAGCACAAAATTCCTTAAAACCATAACAAAAAATGAACTAAAAATGAAGTTATAAAACAAATCTCAACAGACTGCGCTTAGCGGGCCCACCATGCTAAATGGGTTGCGCGATATTTACACATTAAACCGATGTAAACTGCACTAAGCGGGCTCCAAAATAATGCTTCTTCTAAAATTTCAAAACGCAAGTAGCACGCTACAAAATATGCTGAGTGCACTCGCGCTTAGCGGCCTTCTGCATGTTAAGCGGGCTCTCCTGGGCAAAACTGGTCTTTTATTCCAAAAACGTGCATCCGGAGTCGTACCTTTGACACCTTATTCCTCGATGCTCCAAAATGCAATAAATACCTACAAAATGAATGGAAAAACATCAAACGGTACACTATGTACACAAAAACACAAATAAACAAAAACTAAACGTATTTATACAAAAGTCGGGTTTATTCAATGATTATTAACAACAAAGAGTCGATAAGTGCAACAAAAAGTGTATACAAAAATAACTACAATTCACACTTATCACCAGTTAATAACCAATTCCTTGTGTTCTTCTTGTTTTCCTGATTCATACCTTGTGGGTTTCTTGCCTCAAAGAAACCTGTTATACTATGTTCTTGGCATCATTTTCACAACAAATTGGTGCAGTAAGCATGGAAAAGATGCCTTTAACAAAGTATGAGATTGAAAAGTTTACCGGAGTGAATGATTTTGGTTTGTGGCGCTTGAAGATGAAAGCCCTACTGGTTCAATAGGGTTGTTTGGAAGTGTTGAAGGGAGTGACGGATATGGACGTTGCGTTAATGGAAAAAGAAAAGACGACCATGATAGAAAAAGTCCACATCGCAATCTTGTTGAGCCTTGGTGATAAGGTTCTTAAATAAGTACCAAAGAAGACGATGACATCAGGGTTATAGGTGAAACTTGAAAGTTTATACACTACCAAATCGTTGATAAATCGATTCTACCTAAAGAGAGCTTTGTATTTATTCAAGATGATTGAAGATAAAGTGTTGGTTGAGCAGTTGGATATGTTCAACAAGATGATTCTTGATCTTGAAAATATTTATGTGAAGATCGATGATGAAGATCAAGTGTTGTTGCTGTTGTGCGCTTTTCCTAGAACACATGCTCACTTCAAATAAACTCTCTTGTATGGAAGGGAGTCACTGACCTTTGAAGAAGTTCAACCAGCCTTGTATTATAAGGACTTGAACGAACAAAAGGAGCATAAACCGTTGACGGTTGGTGAAGGTTTTGCCTTTAAAGGAAAATTCTTGCGAAAGGATGGTAAGTTCAACAAGAAGAAAGGTAAAAGTCAGCAGAAGTCTTACAGTGGCGAAGCATCTGGTATTCGATGCTATCATTGCAAGAAGGAGGGTCACACAAGAAAGGTGTGCCCTGAATGCCTGAAAGATCATGGAGGTAAGGATAATGGAAATGCAGTCATTGTTCAAGATGATGTTCTTGTGGTTTCAAGTAGCGACTCAAGAAAAGAGTGGATTATGGATTCAGGTTGTACTTGGCACATGACTCCAAACAAAGACTTATTTGAGGAACTATATGTAACACCCTATTTTACCCATCGTATATTTAATAAAATCAGAGTAATTTAAAATTTTCCAATCAACATCAAAATAGGATGTCACATTTCATCATCTCAAAAATTACTCCATCATTTAGTAAATAGATACATAACACAACTATTTCGGATGAACCGACAATATTTCATCATAATATTCAAATTTCAACTTTATTAATGCAATAGAAAGAAATTCATAAATTGTTTTCAACATCTTCAACTCATCTCAAAACAACATTTTTAATCAAATAAAATAGAGTCTATAGTACTCCCACAATACTCCAAAATAAAAACATAAAATAAATAAACAAGTAAATGTTCATCCCCTCCCCTATATTACGTATCAGAGCAATGACACAATTTCAAAATGAGAAGATTAACATCTCCTAGACTCCGCTATTTTGCACTACTTCTGGTTATCTGCATGTTACCCACGTAGAGGCAACATTCAAATAGTAAGGGGTGAGATATCATGACAATATAATAAGTCATATAATCATGAGTGAACAACATGTATATCATGTAAGATATCAAGTTCCACAATCATCAGTTATAATTCATAACAATTACACTGATACATACTTAATTATCATCACCCATCATACGACATAAATCAAACATACAACTCAACTTCATTATCATCACCCATCATACAACGTAAATCAAACATGCAACTCAATCACATGCAACAATCAAACCAATTAGATCTTATTCATCAACAACATCATAATTATCCATGCTTCAT